ACTTTGCTCTCTCTACTCCACCATCTTTTTTGTGGGTATATCCTCCTGAGTCTGTCAAAAGCATCCCCAAACATTGCTTGGCCAACTGTTGCACTTATTTCTTAGAAGATATTACTGGCTGACAAAAACTACCTTCTGTAACATGAGTGGTATGAGCCATTTCTTAAAAAGAGAATTTTTACTTTCCAATGTAACCCAAGAACTTACTGGGTAAGTGTGTTCTGTCTTGTCTTAAGCACTATTTTCGGAGATTAAATTCTAAATTCTCACATTGTTTAAACATCAGTACTTTCTCAGGACCACTGAGAAAACTGCCCAGATAGCCAAATGCCTGAAATTTTATCACTGACCATAAAGAAATGTACTTTACAGCTATTTTAAAAATCACTGCTCATTGGAAGAAAGATATTATATAATTCTAAGTGCTGCTATGTATGAAATACAGTAGCCCCACCCCTGCATCTGCGGTTTCACATTCCATGGCTTTAGCTACCCATGATCAACTGCAGTCTAAAAATATTAAATGGAAAATTTCAGAAATTATTCATAAGTTTTTGAATTGCGCGCCATTCTGTGTAGCATGATGAAAACTGGTGCCATCTGGCTCTGTCCCACCCAGGGTGTGAATCATGCCTTTGTTCAGCATATCCATGTTGTATGTTCTACTGTCTTTAGTCATTTAGTAGTTGTCTCAGTTATCAGATCAAGAAAACATTTATATAGGGTTCACTACTATCCAGTTTCAGGCATCCACTGGGGGTCTTGGAACATATCCCCCCCAATAAGCGGGGACTACTGTATAAATTTATTAAAAGATGAAATTCAAGAATGAACTTTAGACTATTCTCTTCGATGGCTTGGTTTGCTAGGTACAGAAGACTATTTGGATGTTTGAACATATTGTGAATATTTTATCCACAGAATATAGAGCTTTCATTAAAACAATAGAGAGAGAAAAACCTACAGTCTGGAGAACAAAAGCTAAGAGTTCCAAGTTTTAGTGGCCATGTTTCCCATAGGGCTCTTGTATAAGAAGAGTAGTACTATATTGTTTCCTATTCACAGATGGAAAAGAGTAAAATTTTGCTTCATTTAAAGCCCAATAGCAATAATTATGCATGGGTTTCAGAAAAATGATACATTTTACTGTGGGATAATGAGGACCATTAGTTATTAGAGAGAACAAATTATTCTTTCAACAGACTTATTCATTCACTCATTTAATAGACTATCCTCTCTCCTGTTCACAAAAATGGCCTTCCCATATGAAACACCTGGCCATACGACATGCCACCAGACTGACTTTAGGAGGTATCTTGAAAGGAAGAAATAGAGAATATCCAAAGTGAAGCCACAAGATAAAACCAACACTTGATGCTTGCCTTTCATTTCAAGGAAAGCAGTATAAAAGCAATAGAAAAAGAAAAAGGTAGTTGAAAAATATAGTTGCTCCCCACAAAAGAGTCTTAAAAATAAAAAACCATGAGCTTAATAATTTTCCCAAATGAAATTATGCCATTATTCCTGATTTCTTTGTAGTAACTAAAAGGACAAAGTATCAAACTTCACTAAAGTTTCAACACTGTAATACATTTCATTAATCAAAGATAAAAGCTACATTAAAAGCAAGAATTATTTTATGTCTGTGATTAGGGAATTGGAGGGCTTGTATTTTATGTATACATTTGTACACTTCAACTTATTTAACAGTGTCAGTTCACTAACTGCAATTTTTTTATATAAAGAAAGCAGATTTAGAATTTTAAAAACAAATTACAGTAATTTTATGCCTACAGCTTGCACCTCTTAGAAACCACATACCCCCAACACTCGCCTTACTTTGCCACCACTTCCCCATCTCCTCCCTCCTCCTCTCTAAAACCACAGGCTTCAAGAGAACTGATAACAGGGGCTTTGAATCCCCTAGTGAACAGCCACCCTAATTTTTCACTTGGGGTAGAGGAATAAAGGGCGCAGATAAAAATTCAGCTCTTGAATAGGACAGGGGGCAAATGCCTGCAGATATCTGCCTGGCAAGTTTCAATGTTTCCTACTGATCTTCAGGGTGACAGGCACTTCCAGGCGTGCTCTTCATTAATGTTGAACCTCCTATGAGGAAAGGGGGAAAGATAAATGACTAAAAGACTGGTTACTAATGTAGATGGCTATGTATATACTGTTGGTGCTGGCAGGGGGTGGGGTGGGAGAAGAGGAGGAGCAGGCAAGGAGGACTACACAGTGATGACAACTTCACACATCCTCAGCATAAAAACCACTGTCAAGTGCAGAAGAGAAAAATGAGAAAAAGTAGCTAAAAGGGGGGAGCAGCAGCCACTCCTCCAAGGCCGAGAACACATGCCCCTCTATCAGCTTGAATCAGCTACATGGCACCAAGAAGGGGCTGCCAAGAATAGTGTATGTACAACCATAGTTGTGTCTAGAGAGCTTTCAGGTTATGGGGTAGGAGACAGGAACACATGAAAGTCTGGAGGGTTCCCTCTGTAGACTGAGATTAGTCCGTAATGAGACATAACATGAAACTGCTGCAGATGGGACCTGTTCATCTACTAATGGCTTTTAAAATAATCTGTGAAAACTGGATTCATAATACAGTCTATGATCATAAGGCAGCTACAGTCATGATAAAGTATCTTTAACCAAGTAAAAATTCCTACTGTTCAATTCATTTTAAAAAAGCAATCTTAACTATGACCTCTGGAACCAACAAAATCAATCTGGTCCACTCTCAGTATGACCAGTCTTGACATTTCTTAGTCGGCATTAGGCCTATCTACCAAGGCAGGCTCCATCACCCTTTACTGTCCAGGTCTTTTACTGAAATAAAAGGCACCGCACTTCTCTCTCTTAAATGTCATTCATAAGATGTGGCTTATCCATCTACTCCCTCTCAGTGCTGGGCCACTGGAAAATTCAAAACCAAAGAAGGAAAGGGCAACAGTTTGTGTTTAGATCAGGTTCTTGACAATACAAATGGAAAAACTGGGAGATCAACTCTTAAAAAAAATGGTTTTGCTCCAAGGTTTTCAGTGGGGGGATGTGGGGGTGCACATTGAGCAGTGGAGGGAGCATGAAGAACTTGAAGCTCCCCCTGCCAGCACACCATTCCATCCCTGGTTGAGAACATCTTTCATAGCCTCTCAGAGCTTAGAAGAGGCAATAAAGGTTAACAAGTGGTTAAGAGAGCAACCTTTGGAATCACACAGAGCTCGGATAAAATCCAATCACAGCTGGCCACTTACCAGCTACGTGACAAGACCAAGTTAGTTATTACCCCTCTCGGCTTCCTTCTCAGTAAAATGGAGCTAATACAGCTACCTTCACGAGGTTGTTGCAAGGATTGAATGACATAATATATGCAAAGTACTTATCACAGTATCCAACAGAGTAAGCACTCAATGTATAGGAGAGAAAAAAATGAAGCTAAAAAATATCACATATTTACAGTCCCCTCCTCCCAGCAAAGGATTTATAAACATCATCAAATACAACTCAACTTGGAGAATATATTATATGATTATTTTGGTAGCAGAATTTTATCTTCCTAATTATGTTTTGCTTAGGCAAATGTCAAAAATGAGTTTCCACTTCCAGAGCAGACACTGATGGGGTAGTGGGGATGGGGGTAGCAGGCAGCAGCTCAGAAACATACTCAACAGGGGCTGGATAGAAAATATGTGTGACTTCATAATTAATCCACGGAAAATCCAATCTCACTCCACAAACACATACTGAGTGCCAACTATGTGCAAATCTTATGGGCTGGAGAAATAAGGACATATTTATATTGAAGCCTGAAAGCAGGGTGGGAAGTGGCTACTATTAGCACTCACTGAAAACTCCCTCTGCCCTAGGCCCTGTGCTAAGCATCTCACAAGCATCATCTTATTTCTCCCTCAGAGCAACTCTATGACTCAAGGAACCAAGATATAGACCAAGGTTCAAAGGCTTGTGAATAGCAGAACCAGCATGCAAAACCAGGTCCCTATGATACCAAAGCCTGTAGCTTAAGCCAGATGTTTTAATGAAAGGAGGGGGAGAATTTTCCATGAAGCAGGGACAGAATGAGCAATGCCATATTTAGGAGACACTAAGTAGACTGAATAAGAAGTAAGGCTAGAAACACAGGCTGGAGCTAGAAAGTTAGTTTGTAACTGTCAAAGTTAGAGTCTGTGAAATGCCAATAGCATCTGGACTTGACTTACAGACAGTGAGGGGCCATCTAAGGACTTTACCAGGAAATACTCTAAAAACATTCATCATTGCATAAGACATGAGAGAGAGCTTTAAGAGACTCTAAAATCAATGTAACTCTTTATATGCTGATCATCTAGAAATAAAATCAGGGCTGGTTATGAACTATATTTCTAAGCAAAAGATGACAATAACAATGAAGGGACAATCTAATAACACAGCAAAAAGTCAGAGAACTACTGAGGTCAAAACAATCCAAAGAAATACTTAATCAGCCAGTTCCTAGAGGATAACAGTGAGTCCAGTTTTAGACGAATTTAAATTAAAGCAAAAGTAGAATACTCATAGGAAACCAAATATTAAAAATTAAAATTTTTATGTTAAAAAAGCTGTGTTTTCTCACTTTATATGAAAATACCCTTAGAGACAGAGACAAGATGCACTAATAAGCAAGATACTGTCGATCTCCTTATTAATGGAAGTTCACTAATTAAAACTATAAAAATGTAAACTCAATGACAATAATGGTGTCTTAAAATCTTCTCTTCACCTTTATTTTTGCCTTCCCTCTCTTCATCAGCATACACTTACTGAATGCCAACTATGGAGCAGACATGTGCTTACAAAGGTAGCAAGTATGTAAGGACACAGAAAGTAACCAATCACAAAAGTAAATGCCTAACTATAAACGAAGTGGCAATACTGTACCCATAAACAGGGATCCCAACAGTTGAGGGAAAAGTGCAGCTGTTACACTGTGAGGGTCTGTGTGACCTTGAGACACTTACCTAACCAGGCTGCAATAAGGACAGCATCAATTCCATCTATTGGCTCACAGATCCGAGCCACGACTGGGTGGATCTGCTGGGCCAGGTAGTACTGGGTGTCAATGATTAAATTGTCCTGTTTCTGCAGCTGCTCGGGCGCATAGGCCCTCTGACTTGCAGCGAGGTTTGATCCATCCTAAAAGAAGACATGGTAAAGTAGTGAGCAACTCAATCACATATACTTGCTTGCTCAAACAGAGGAACAGGAGTTTAAATTTTACGTATTTAACTCCAAACACCAAGAAGTATTTTGGAAATATTGTTGAACGTTTCATATATATCTAAGAGTAAGAAGATTGAGAACTTTTCAATCTCACCCACTGTCCAAGAATGTAAATCCAGCATACGTTGTGTTCTATTTTTTGTTAAAAGAAAGGGGATTGAAACCTGTAGAGTAGTAATTTATATGAAAGATATAATAGAAGTAAAAATAATGTGGTATTCTGCTGAAGTGGCGGTGTTCTAGAAGCCAAATATCTGGCCACTAGAATGAAAGGCACACCATTCTGAACTGTTTACCTGGTTCCTCCTCAAGGAAAACAAGGTGAGTCAGAGAGCCTTTTTTCAAGGGCTCTCTAAAACTATAAGAATAAAAGTTGAATTTTATCAAATGCTTTTCCTGCATCTATTGAGATGATCATATGGTTTTTGTCCATCACTTTGTTGATGTGGTACAACACATCTGCTTTGGGTATACTGAAGCATCCTTGCATCACTGGGATAAATTCCACTAGATCATGGTGTATAATCTTTTCAATGTGCTGTTGAATTTGATTTGCTAGTACTTTGTTGAGAATTTTTGCATCTATGTTCACCGGGAATACTGGCCTGTAGTTTTTTTTGTTGTGTCCTTCTCTAATTTTGGTATCAGGGTGGTACTGGCCTCATTGTAAGTTTGGAAGAATCCTTCCTCTTCAACTTTTTGGAATCAGCTTGAGAAGAACTGCTGTTAGTTCTTCTTTAAAAGTTTGGTAGAATTCAGCAGTATACTGAAGAGATAGCTGCACCCCCATGTTTATTGTAGCACCATTCACAACAGCCAAGATATGGAATCAATCTAGGTGTCCATCAACAGATGAATGAAGAAAATGTGTATGTATATGCAAATGGAATACTACTCAGCCATTAAAAATAATGAAACACTATCATCTGCAGCAACATAGATGAGCCTGAAAGACATTAAGTGAAATAATTCAGGCACAGAAAGGTAAAAATTCCATGTTCTCACTCATATGTGGGAGCTAAAACAAAAAATGTTGAGCTTATAGAAGTAGAGAGCAGAACTGTGGTTACAAGGGCCTGAGGAGGGTAGGAGGGTAGGGAGGATAGGGAGAGGTCAGTTAATGGATACAAGAGTCTAGCTACATAGGAAAAATAAATTCTAGTGGTATAGGGTAGTGCTAGGTTGTCTTTAATTGACAATAATTTATTGTACATTTTCAAATGGCTAGAGCTCAAATGCTCTCATCACAAAGAATTAATAAATTTTTATGATGATAAACATGCTAATTACCCTGACTTGATCATCATAAATTGGATACATGTGTTGAAATATAACTCTGTACCCCATAAATATGTGCAATTATGTGTCGATTAAAAAAAAATAAAAGTGAAATTCTATATAATTGGTCCACATATAGCCCTGTGGGTGATGTCACCATCATCTGTGAATTGAAAAGTTGTCACTCTACTGGACCAACATCCAACAACTCACTCCACTCTTCCTTTTGCCTGAAACAACAGAATTTAATATTCCGACTAGTAAATTATAACTATTCACAGTGCTCAGCTGCTCTGCAGATCTGATTATAATGTGAATCCTATTCTTTCATTCCTGCTACAATTAGTGCTTTCTCAGCTTAGCACCCAGTCAAAAGCAGAAGCAACCTTCTACACTGCTGTTGTTGCCAGAGACCAGAGGCAGGGGCCTCTTTCTCTAGCTAGCCTCCTGACAGAAACAAACTGGGCCTATTTCTCAACTAAGTTCTACCTGTTCTAAGATATAATGAAATACCTAGAAATTCCTTTCTAGGTAGCAAACCTCCAATTAAAAGACTTACTTATTATTTTTCAGGAGTTCACAACACAGTAAATTAGGCAGAATTAACCAAACTTAATTGTTGCCCTTTTAGAGCCTTGAATTGTTAGATGAGAATAATGTGACAGCCAATGACAAAAACACTGTGGAAAAAATCCTTGGGCAGTATCTTTTGTGCCATAACCACATTCGGACTGCCTTTTAACAAACACATAAAATCTGATTGATTTATATAGAATTGTAGCTTTTTGAAAAAATAGTCTATCTTAAGATTATAGCAATGTTTAATAATTTTTAATGGTGAATTAAAATCATACTTGTAGAGGCAAAATATATTTTTAAAAAGGCACATGAGTTACTTTTGAATATGTCATTAGAATTTCTCATAGCAAGGCATGTTTTTTTTAAAGTAGCTGAATTGTGTCAATTAAAAATAAATGAATAAATTTTTTAAAAAGCAGTTGAAAATTTATGAGCATACTTTCAGTTTAAAACATTTTTATTTTAAATATCCACACAAAAGATTAGTTTTGACAAACAATGACCCAAACATATTCCTTACTGTATTTTAAAAATCTAAGCTCAAACACGGCTAAATTCAAAAGAATTGGTTAGATAACAGGTTTTGCTATGTGGTATTGGAAAAACATTTAGGTTATGACCTAAGATATATTCCTCAATGACATAATTCTCAAATCTGAGCAAGACCCTATGGTATATGCAAGAACATGTAACATACACCTTTAAGAACAGATTAAAAAGCAAGGTTGGTCTTCCTCGAAGTGCCCATGTAGTAATTTGTGAACTTCACAGAGACAACCAGGTGCAGTTGATTCATTCAAAACTATGTAGTCATTGCTAGTGGGAAACTAACAGAAAAAAATTTTTAAGTGGGTAAGAAGTGGGCCCTTTAAAACAATTATGTTAAAGGCATTCCTTATAAAAAGTATATTAAATGAAAGTTAAATAATTAAAGATTTAAAACTTAGCCAACAAATGGAAGTTACTTTAAGATCTGAGCAAATAGTTCACGTAGGTTTAACAAGAGTACAAACTACAATGTAAATTAGATATCAAACACATTACTCTCTGAACTCATCTAAATTTGTAATCTAAATAAATTATCAGTAGGGTGCTATATTCTTAATATAAATTTTAAACAAAACAGAACCTGGTTAAGATATAGGCTATTCTTGGAGGACACTTTTGCTTAGGGCAACAAACAGTCCTCTTAAAAATGTGTCACATACTGGGCCGGCCCGGTGGCGCACTGCGCTAGTGCACCGCTTGGGAAGTGCGGAGGCGCTCCCGCCGAGGGTTCGGATCCCACATACAGACCGGTTCCCGCTCACTGGCTGAGCGAGGCGCGGGGGCAACACCGAGGGTTGCGATCCCGTTGCCGGTCCCGGTCCGGTACGGGGGCGACACTGAGGGTTGCGATCCGTTGCCGGACACGGAAAAAGACAAAAAAAAAAAAAGTGTCACATACATTTTCAAAAGGATATTCTAAAAATATGGTTGCCTTATAAACATACACAAAAAATAATTTGAGTGCTTAAAAGCAAAAGAGGTAGGCAGTTTTGGCTAGGAAACATGCTGAAAGGGGGCAGGTCCTACTGATAGAGGACAAAGGCAAATTAAAGTCCTATAGCCTTTCTTGGGATATGCTAAGGATAATAAATTAATTTAAAAAAATTAACTGTACTTTTAAAAAGCAAATAAGTTAAGGCCCAGTACCAGTGGATGGGAATGCTGAAAATACATCAAATTGCATTTACTGTACTACAATAGCATCAGCATTTGAGTCTTTATTTATGAGAAGAAATCATAAGACCTAATATGTGTAGACATCAAGGAACATAAGCTTGACTTTTAAATACATTGATCATCCTATTTTATGTCACCATACATCTCCATTCCAGGTTTAGCCAAAACATAAATTGTGGCTTGGTTTCATTATTAGATATTATTTTACTGAACCTATATAATTTTTCAAAGTTGTATGCTGCCATCTGCTCCTGTCATTAATAATCTAAGAGCTTTCCATGTATGTGAAGATGTAAGTGAAAAAAAAAAAATAGCCTATTTACCAAAATCTTTATTTGCATAATATGAAAATTGTTTTTTTGAGATGAGACTTGTCAGAAGCAAAATGCAAAGCACATTAAGGGCTTGAGCAAGTCAGACATTTATGGAAATATTTTCCTGCAGGAATTGGCTTTCTGTAACAGTTCTTAATCAAGGGTAGCCCTAGGAGGGAGGCAGAGTCAAGTACTGATTCCTGTCCATATACTTAAATCATTTGTTATGTACATCACCTATAGTATGCAGTAGATATTAGCAGATGACTATTAAATTTTTAAAAGGCTCTATGACTTAAAAAGACATTGATTATAGCTTGACAGAGATCAATGATATTGCAATAAACCTTAAAATTTTAATTTTTTATTGTAATAACACAATGCAATAAAAATTAGGATAAAACTCTTAGTAATAATTTAAAAGAAATAGTATTATTCAGATGAATTATGTCTTGTGGTAAACAGACCACAACATAGTAATTTCAAAGAACTTGGATAGAGGCGATGACTCTGGCTTTTTCTTTCATAAAGAAGTGAGGAGAACTCTCCTTTGTTCCAATTGGAGTTAGGTGCTTTCAAAGAAAAAAAAAAAAAAAGCTGCTCTTCTGTCTTACCCTCTCACCCCACCCCTGTTAGAGGCATGCTACTCTAAATGTTTTTAGGATCTCTTAACTTTCTCCATATAATCATGAATTTCATATTTTTTCAAGTTATTATTTGGACACAGACTGAGAAAAAAACACATTTATTCTTTATTATTCCACTAATATTCATAATGGAAACTGTTGCAAAGGGACATATGACCAAACATACACATATTTTCATTAAAGTTAATTTAGAATTGAAACAGTAGCTACAATTATGAACCTGTCTCCAAAATAATTTTAGTGAATCAAAACATTAGTCTTAAATGTTTTATGAAAATTCTAACAAAATATGCCATACCTCTAATGTTTTTTAAATGCTGTAAAACCAATCAGACTTAACCATCTCTTTACAGCACTATTTGCGAGACTACTGTATTAGGTTGTTTTTGTGTTGCTATAACAGAATATCTGAGACTAGGTAGTTTGTAAAGAAAAGAGGTTTATTTGGTTCATGATTCTGGGACAGCTGCAACTGACATGGGCCTCAGGCTGCTTTTACTCATGGCGGAAAACAGCAGGGCAGCCAGCAGGTACAAGGATATCATAGGGCACGAGGAAGCAAGAGAGAAGAGCTTCTCACGCATTCTCCTTTTAAAGCCATCAGAACCACGCCCAAAACTACCATTAAACCATCAATGGATTAATCCATTCACTAGGGCATGATACTTACAATCTAATCACCTCTTCAAAGCCCCACCTTTCAAATCACCATAATAGGATTTCCCACCCTCTTAATACTGTCACAGTGGGGATTAAGTTTCCAACATGAAAATTTAGGACATAATTTAATCCGTATCAACTACTAAATAAAACATTGTAGCAATCTGAATTTTACTCTGTGGTCTCAAGTGGTATGAGAATCTTGTGAATTACAACAGTTTTACCTGACAGATGACATATGATACAGTATCTCCAGCTTTCACCTTTCTGCCTCCTTGAGAATTTATCCAGAGGGCAACATGTACATGAGGTAGGCTTTTTTTATCAGGGTAATCCTGGGGATCCTTTGTCAATGCCTAAAAGAGAAAAAGAAAACAAAAAAGCCCCAAACCTTAAAATAAAACCCTTCTTAAACAGATATATGCTAAATAAATCTTTGCTAGAATCATACTAGCCACATAAACATGAAAATGACAGAAGCTATATGTAGAAAACATTGCCACAGAATCTTTAAATATCCCATCCTCAAGGCTCCTCTCTGCTTTGTTTTAATACCTAATATAACCAGATGCAACCCTGACAAAAAAGAAAAATAAATTTATGGGCCATGTCTCATAATATTCGGATATAAAAAAATTAAGACTATAAATTTGGTGTTCTATGCAGCCTTAGGATTTCTCCTAGTGTTTGAAATTCTTTCACGCTGAATCAATTAGCTGGGACTGATGAATAATGGCTACTCTGACTTAATGATCTGTTTCTCAAAGTCTCCTCTATCCTAAATACATCTGAAAGGCACCAGAAATCAATGGATTTACTCAGGCTGTCAGCTTAAGCTATACAGAGGCAGAATGAGATTGTAATAGAAAGCAAGCCCCATGAGAGCAGGAACAATGTCAGCCTTGATCACAGCTGTATTCACAGTGTTCAGAATCATGCTCGGTGTGCAGCAGCAGCCAAATGTCTGCTAAATAAATTATTTCACCCATTCTGCAATAATTTACTGAGTTGAAGTACTGTAAAGTACTACAGGATGAATAAGACTCAGTCTCTGGTATTAAGTCATCTGCTACTAGTAGAACACTCCCCACCTTAACCTACCCCTCAAAAAAATCTCTAAAATAAGCTACATATGCCATGTGAAAAAAGTGTTATGGAGAGAGTTTAGAAAGGTAAAGATCACTTCAATCTGAGAGCAGAAATCACAGAAGAAAAAAACCTAAGCTGGAACTTGAAGGAAAAATTTATTTTAAGAAAAGGTAACAGTAGCAAGAATATTCTAGGCAGAGAAAAAGCAAAAGTTAAAGGCAAGGGGTGAAAAAGAATACAACCTACTGGACTGCAACTCAGTATGCATAAAGGGAAGGAGAAGGATGTCCACATCTGTTAAGAGGTGGGTTTCAAAAGACAAGAGGAAGGATGGGGACCAGGGTGCTGCTTGACGAGCTCACCTGTTCTCAAAGTGTGTGCTGCAGACCCCTGAGACTCCTGACACCCTTTCAGGGGGTCTCAATATCAAAATTATTTTCATAACAATACTATTTGTACTAATGATGCAGAAGCAATGCTGGGTAAAACTGTTGGTGCCTTATAAACAGGAATCAGGGCAGCCACACCAAACTGTACTAGTAGTCATTGTATTCTTCACCAAAAAAACCCACACACACACAACGCTTTCACTTAGGAACATCCTTGATAAAGCAGTAAAAATTAGCAATTTTTACTCAAGTTCAACCCTTGAGTACAAGTTTACTATTTTGTGTGATAAAACAGAAAGTACTGGGCCGGCCCGGTGGCGCACTCGGTAGAGTGCGGCGCTCCCGCCGAGGGTTCGGATCCCATATAGAGACCGGTCAGCTCACTGGTTGAGCGCGGTGCGGGCGCGACACCGAGGGTTGCGATCCCGTTACCGGTCACGAAAAAAGACAAAAGGAAAAAAAAAAAAAAAAAAACAGAAAGTACACACAAGATATGTCTGAAGAACAAAGGGGCTCAAGGAAAAGCACTTGTACAATTGTTTGAGTTGCATGCTAAACTAGCTCCCTTTTTCACAGAATACAATTTTTACTTCAAAGAATGATGGACAAACTACAGATATCTGGCAGATAATTTTTCAAAAAAGAATCAAGTGAGCCTGCCACTTACCTGATAATAATGATAAAATTATCACTTACAATGGTAAAATTCAAGCTTTTAAGTGCAAATTAGAATTTTGGAAAACTTGTTTCCACCTCTGTGAGCTTGACAGATTTCCAATACTTAAAGACCTTTCTGATATAAGTAGGAATATTTTTGATAGTGTACAATGAAATGTGTCAATTTTGGAAGATCTGCATAACTCAGGGAACCAACATTTGACAAATGACCAATCCATCATGTCATGCATGGGTAAAATATACAAAGTACAATACAGACCAACAGATTTTAATGTAAGACAGTATGAAAAGTTCACTGATATAGTTTCAGATTCTACATTACAAATAACCTTTAAGAAAATACCATCTGTAGAGTTTGGTGTAGGATCAAAGAAAAACATACACAACTATCAGAAAACATTACTAAAATACTTTTTTTTCCAGTTACATGTTTGTGTGAAACTGGATTTGAAGTATAGGAGACCTCAATCAAAACTACACATCACAACAGACTGGATGCAGAAGCAGGTATGAAAATCCAGATGTCTTCTAAAATAGATATTAAAGAGATTAGCAAAATTGTAAAATGACACCAATCCTCTGGCCCATTTTTCTTTGTTTTGAAATGGTTATTTTTCATGGAAAAAAATGTTATTTTTATAATCTTATAATGGGCTTGCTGCTATTTTTAAATAAATAAGTGATTTTTAATTTCTAGCACACTAAATATAAACATAAACCACATAAACAAAAGCTCTTGGAGTCTTCAATTATTTTAAGAGAGTAAAGGTGTCCTGAGATTAAGAAATTTGATAACTGCTACAGTAGAATAAAGCAGGTCCTCAAACATGGCTGAACAAAGCAAAGCTATGTACACTTTCTAAACCTCATCCTCAGTGTAGGAGAGTGCTTAGAAAATTCTCCACATATTTGAATCTCCTCAAACCTGGACTATGTGAAGCCTTGATTGACTTGCATGAGCAATACTGTATAGAAATCTTAACTGATATAACTGTACTTAAGAAAACCGTTATCTTCTTCAATTGACTATTCTTTGGTACAATGTTAAGAAATTCTAAAATTCATCTGAAATACTTTCCAATTATTAGATTAAGGCATTCAGGGATTTTACATATCTTCTTCAATTGACTATTCTTTGGTACAATGTTAAGAAATTCTAAAATTCATCTGAAATACTTTCCAATTATTAGATTAAGGCATTCAGGGATTTTACAAGCTAGTTTTAGAAGGCTTCATTAAAAAAAAAAAAAAAAAATGTTTCCTGGTGGTTTAGGCTAAAGTTAGCCAGGGCTATAAAAATCAGCTGTGAAGTATTTTGCATTACTTTATGAAATATATTTAAGCTAAGACTGCAGTAGTTCAGAAAAATCACACATGCTTTTCTCAGCTGCTTTTGGCAACAAGGCCTAAAATCTCTATAAAGGTAAATTCCACCACTTCATGCATGCCTTCACCCTAATCTAACCTGTGATGTTCAAGCCCACTAGCATCACTTAAAACCGAAAACAAAAATGAAAAAAAACATCCTGTCCTGAGACCATACACAATCAGTCACATACATAGACTCTTCCATTCTACTCCCCTTTGAAAGCAATAAAATGTAAAAACTGAACTGCTCACAAGTTTTAAATAGTGACAAGTATTCAAACAAATGTTAAAGATTTCCGGGACACAGCACCTTTGACATATGAATAGCTTACTATAGACATAACTACAACTATGATAGCTAGTCCTTCCATCAGAATTTACTGTACTTACATCAACACTGCAGAAAGCCTTCTTTATAAAAAAAGGTAAGAATATGGGACAGGAAATCCCTTCGATAGACCATTAGCATCTTGAATATGCAGACCATGCTTTCCTTTTTAAACTTTATATCCCACAGTCTAGCACTGTGTACATAAGAGGTATTCCATGTTTGCTGAATGGATGACAAACAAATGAATTCTTTCAAAGCTCACTGAACAACTATTATTTACCAGCAACTATGCTAAGTGATACGGAGAATATAAAGACAGTATGTCACAGTTTCAGTTCTACCACAGAAAAATGTATGCACAGCCCCTATCATACTAGGCACTAAGTATTAACTATTATTGTTATTAGTAATAATAATATATCACTAAAAGTTGATCATTGATCATTGTTGAAGCTAAGTGATGATAAATGGAGAATCAGGATTATTCTCTCTAATTTTGTATAAGCTTAGAAATTTTGATAACAAAAACTTAAAAATAATAAAAGGATATATAAACTATTTATCAGAAACCAGAGACTGCCCGTGTGTCTATGTCTCTAGGTTTCTTCCACACAAGTGATATTTTGCCATCGCTCATATGAGAAAATGACTACCCTAGAGGACATGTGTTTGGTGTTATTTTGCCAATAATATAATCGTGCTTGGACTGAGCTTTCCAAACTCATCCCTGGAACCTTTATTTCTAGGAAGGTAGAAGGATCAGGAATACAATATTCAGAATTAATGTAAAAATTGACCAAAAACAGGCTGAAGTCTTACTCATACAAAGTTTTGAGAAAGAAATAAAAAAACCTAAAAGAAAACCACTTTCTAGATGACACAAATGATTCTATATCCATATGTGTATAACGCATCACTTAAAGTGAAGAGTTAAGTACCAAGAAACACATCCCCTTGTAATGTATAAATGAATGTCTTCTTTTGTGACATTAAAAACATCATGGTTGGGCCGGCCCGGTGGCGCACTGCTACAGTGTGCTGCTTGGGAGTGCGGCGGCACTCCCGCCAAGGGTTCGGATCCCACATATAGACCGGTTCCCGCTCACTGGCTGAGTGAGGTGCGGGCGCAACACCGAGGGTTGCGATCCCATTGCCGGTCCCGGTCCGGTACGGGCGCGACACTGAGGGTTGCGATCCGTTGCCGGACATGAAAAAAGACAAAAAAGGAAAAAAAAAAAAAAAAAAACATCACAGTCAAGGTGTAGGAAACAAACAACTTACCTAAGAACAAATACAAATCATAAGGAAATGCATAGAAAATATTCATTCTCTCTAGGAATCAAACAAATGTAAATTAAACCAAACTGTAAAATATAGTTTCATATCCATTATGGTAGCAAAGTTTTATTTAAATATCATCACTACTATAAGCAACTGTGTGGGTAAACTGGCACACAAATTTTGTTGTTAACTGGTATCACCCTTTCACAAAGCAATTTGGCAAAAGCCATACAGATATTGTTATCTTTTGACTCAGCTATTTTACTTCAAGGAACTGAAAATAAGAAAACAATTCATCCAAAAGCAAAAAGATAAATGAACAAAGATGTCAATACAATTATTTACAATAGAAAAGATAAATTTAATAATCAACAAGCAAAAATTTTAAATAAAGATGTATCAGCAAAATAGATTAGTATATTGATCAATCTGATGACTTTTAAGGTGAACACAGAAACATGAAAAATATGTTTATGTTAAGTGAAAACAGATTTCTAAATAATATTACTATAATTGCTGCAATGTAAAATATGTTTTCAAGAGTAAGGAAATATGCAAAAATGAGACACGCATTACTTTAGCATAGGGGTATTATGAATGAGTTTTCATTCTTAAACTTCCATTCAATGTCATTAGATTCTTTTTCATTAAAAAAATTTTTGAATGAGCTTTGACAACAAAATCTATCACAAAATGGGTAAAGTGGTATATGCAAAATTAGCTCCTGAATATGTAAAGGTACCCCTTTTAAATGAAAAAAAAAAAAACTGTTACCTAATATCTGGCTTATCACACAGCATTTTGGAAACCAAGATTTTGTTTTTCAAATTAGGTAAGAAATATTCCCTATTTTCGAGAACTAAGACTGTCTTTCAAGTATAACATATTTTTCTTTTTAAAAAAAAGCACAAGTGCTTTGAATATACAGAAAGTGTTACCACCATCTTAATTCTAAATAACTTTGTCCCAAAAGACTTCTGATTATAATACCTCTAAGAATCATTATCTGTGAAGTTAGACAAACGTACACCTACACACTGAGCTTACAGGCCTACACCCTAAACTATTACTTAGAAAGACTATAAAGAAGGCAGTATTCTCTAGTCCCTGATACATAAACTGTATCACTCCATTAAACCTCTGGAAACAAGGCTTCCAAGAATTTAAGTAAGGAATAGGAAGAGAAAAGGCCTCTATGGCAGACATGGCAGTACCTGTGGCTGGAAGAGGTATGCTAATGCTTAATCTGTGAGATAGTTGTTAAGCAGCTTTCATCACCAGCTAGAATTTATTTCAATTGCAAGGATGAGGTGGTTCTTCAACTATCTGAAGGAGGAGAAAAACACCACAGCAGCTGAGCTCAGCAATAAATGCCACATTTACCTTGTTAATTTCAAACTGGTTCACTGGGACACTGCCATTTAGCACATTTTCTCCAATTTCTATTAACCTCCTCTGAATGTTTTCCACTATAGTGTCCCGGCTTTGATCAGAAAGAATCTGGCCAATGACAAAGCTGTAATAAAAAGAGAGTAATTTTTAAATATCATCATACCTTATTAATAAAAGAGAGAAAGGGAAGATAAATGTCATTAGAATAGCTCTTGTCCACATTTTACTCTAAGAGCTAATATGAGGGTTAATGTCCAAAAGGCAGTTACTTCTTAACATTACTGTACCAAAGGTTTACCAACCTCGAAATATCTAGTTTGCCCTTAAACATATAGACCATCTTTTACCTGGCAGCTACTGCCTCATACAAAATGCCGTGGAGAAAAGTATGTGTTCTACCACATTTTATGCAATTACAAAATTCACAAGCAGTTATATTCCACCCATAAGTTAAAATTTTAGAAGACAAATATTTCACCTTCCTCATAAAGCACCAAGATATTATCTCGGATATCATCAAAATATCATCCACACCTGAGATAACCATTAGCTAGGTGAGTGGAAATATAAAGCTCTTAGGTAATTTTTAAAAACACAAACTTTTCCTTCTTCAGCCTCGTTGTATTGCTCAGTGTTCTCCAACCTTCTACTATCCCTCAAAAACTTCGTGCTATTCTACCAGACCCAAAGGAAAAAGATAAAGGAGTAAAGGAAGCCAATATTTTATCCATTTCTGAGAAAATGCACAACAAGGGTTTGACAGCTGCATTATAATTTGTCAGAAAAAGAACCCTGACAAAAACATTTGTATAGCTTTAATTACTAATACATTTCTAACTCAGAGAAATTTACTTCTATTATGATGCATCTTTTCTTAGAAAACACAAAGCTGAAGAGAACACTCTAATCGACAGTCTATACAAAGTAGTATCATCTTTGGGTACATTTGGTGGCAATGAAGCATTTCAAACTACATTTCATAAAAAGCTAACAGTGACCTATACTCAAATGATCAACTTTGCCTAATCAAGAGTAGTTTTGCAGAAGCAACAATTGCTCAGTCTCCTAACTTGAAAGCAGAAGGAAGACAGGAAAACAAGTAAAAAATGCTGGTACTCAGCAATATTAAAATTAATTTTAAATTTAGCTTTGAAGAATAAAATACTTCTATTTTTCAGAATTGGTCAAATTCACAAAATAGGAGTATTTGAAAGATGTTACATAAAGTACTTAAAGATTCATTTTTTTAAATGAGTGCTTTATACATTAATATAACCCTGGGGGGGGGGGGGGAA